ATCCAGAATTTTAAAAGGAAAGTTTTATTATATCCTTTTATTTAGCTCATTGTGGCTGAGGAAAATGTTGCATTGCATTTGGAAAATCTCAAAGACTGGAGCTGGCACAATACCTCTGCAACAAGTACTTTCATAGAACCTAATCCTCATAGTCTGGACTTCCCAAAAGATGTTGCTTTATTTTCCTGTTTTATTTTATTGATAAATTAATTTACATGTGCATCACAAAAATAAAAATGTTCTTGCATAATGTTGTTGCATAATCCAACTAAAACTGAAATAGATACTGGTTTGAGAGAAGGTTGTGAACTTTATCAGAAAATATACAGGAAAATTAAATGACTCTTTAGTTTTATTCCTTAAAAGCAATGTTGTTCATATAGTACAAATGTTCCTGAAAAAGATAATTGTAAAGTGAAAGGCTGTTGCAAAAAGCTTTTATTTAATGAAAGTTGCTTTAAAAAAACTCCAAACCTTTATGCATGTTCTGCACAGTGTTTATGCATGGTATGTTTATGCTTGCCCCTTTTGTCTTTATGTATGTGCATGTGAGTTGCATGTGCGTGATTTTTCATTGCTTTAGTTTGACCTTTGAATCTTCCATTTTATAAGAAAGACATTAGTATTTTACTTCTCCCTTCATAAACTACGTTTTTAAAATTCTTTCCCTGATTAAATGTGTTGATGTTTGTAAAGCCAGATGAATTATATGGTTATGTGTCCCTCCATTTTGCTACATCTAGTCAATCTTCACATTTCTTTTTTTTTCTTCAACCTCTTTACCCCTGAGTTTAGACGATGCTTACTTTTTTCCCCACTTTTGTGAGTAAAATCCCACAAAAAGGAACATTGAGAGATGGATGTATATTAGCTTTGGTATTTCGTGACTTGAAGTAACCGTTGATACACTAATTTATGATTAACAAATCTCAGCTTTCGTTATATTTTTTATTGTGTTGTTATTCTTATTTCTGATACTGATATAATTATCTATTTGCTGGTATGATCATCATCATTTTTATTACTTTTATTATTGTAATTATTATTATTATTATCATTATAGTAAATATTGATATTATTATTATTATAATTGGTATTATAATAGTTATTATTATAATTATTGGTATTATTTTTGTTATTATTATTGTTACCATCATTATAATTGTTACCATTATTTTTATTATTATTATCACTATTGTTTTATCCTTATTATTACTGTTTTTTTCATCATCATCATCATTCTTGTTATTGTTATTATCATTATTATTGGTATTCTTATGATATAATTATTATTATTGGTATTCTTCTTATTATTATTGTTGTTGTTGTTGTTGTTGTTATTGTTGTTGTTATAATTGTCATTATCATCATTATTATTATTATTATTATTATTATTATTATTATTATTTACATTATTATTATTAACTTTATTATTATTATCATTTATGAACATCATCATCATCATTACTGTTTTATTATTATTAACATTATGAGAAAGTATTATTGTAGTTAGTATTAGTTATTACTACTATTATTATTATTTTGTGATGATGATTTGGATAATGATGATATTAGATAGCACTGCTGTTTTATGTTATTGATGCCATAGACATTATAAGTATTAGTATTTATGGTTGTTATTATTATTGTTATTATTATTACCATTATCATTATTGTTGTTTTTATCATTACCATTATTATTATATATATCATTGTTATTATTATTTTTTAGTCAATGCAATTTTTATTATCATGATTATTACCCTTGGCATTGTTGATACTGTTGTTATACTGTTGTGTATGTATAGGTTATACTTTTTTTATAATTGATTACTTCTTAAGTTAAATTAATATATGTAAACCACTCTTTATAAATATCACATAAAACAGCTGTAAGTTTTCCCTCTTGGTTTTGTACAATATTTCATTTATTTGGTTCCTTTTCTCCCAGATTGCTCCACAACATGTGTTACACAGTTGCATCAATATTAATCTGTGGCATTTACTTTTCAGATGCTGTAGACCCATAAATCCCAACAGAATGAGTGCTCCCATTCCAATAGTCCGAAAGGGTATCACCCTCGCCCCATTCTCCTTGGCCTCCTTCAGTTGTTCAGCTGATCGTCCCTTTACTCCATCCCCTCTCCCATCTCCCATGCCCTCCCCTCCATCTTCTCCTCCTGCCCCAAACTCTCCCTCAGGTCTATTACAGGCAGCAAAAGATACTCTACACCGTGCTGTGTCAAAACGTGGATCGAAGAATAGCGTCCTGACCATTGATGTGAGTTTTTGTTGTTTTTGTTGTTATTCTTGTTGTTATTGTTATTATTATTATTATTATTATTATTATTATTATTATTATTATTATTATTATTATTATTATTATTATTATTATTATTATTATTATTATTATTATTGCTATTGTTGTTATATTTATTGTTACTTGGAGGAGAGAAATTATGGTAAGAGATATGAAATGTTGCTATTTATTATCAGGTTT